TAGACTCCATCCACTATCTTTTTTTTCGAAAGAAAGAAAAATATTTAAGTCATCTCCTTGACAAATAATATAGTTAAGCGTTTGAAAATCGAACGTATCATGAATATCTTTAGTTTGTTGAACAAAATCAGCATGCAATATGAAGTTTACCTTAAAAATTATGTGTTGATGAATACACTCTTGTAATAAAAATAAAATATCATCTTTAATAGAATTTAAAAATAGTTCAGGAGTTTCAAAATTTACCCATGTCGAACGATCTACTCTACTCTTGATTTTATAAGTTAAAATCCTATTTCCAAAAGCAGATTCAATAACACTAACGTTTGATAAAGAATTATGTGAATTTAAAAGATTATTTTTATGAACATTACTTTTAAAATGATTAGCTAAATACCGTTTCTTGATAAATATATGGCACGTTGGACATTCCACTTGATCATCGTTACTGATACTGTTCCCTGCAGAGGTATGCGCTTCTGCTTCCGTTGTTGGTTTTTTGATGATCTTGGATTCTTTGCTGCACGTTCGCTTCGTTCCTCTTCCAAGTTGTAGTGGTTGACTGCTAAAATGTTTAAATTTATTAAAAACTGTATAAGACAATATGTAAATTATGATCGAAATGAATGTTTATTTTACATACTTAAACTGTGTTTCAACCATCGCACAGTGATGATACAACTCATCATCGTATGACGAATCGAACAGTTGACCCCTCTCCATTTCTTCACAAACTTTAGACAACTCCTGATTTAATTCGCTATTGAATAGTTCCGTATTCTCTTCCATGATTGTGGAGAAAAAAGCACTGGTGCACACTTCACTGAAGTTTTCCCTTCCTCTTTTTTATTTTTGATTCAGCTTCAAAAAAATGATCAATCGATTGCGATTTTCTTTTTCCACCATCGCATGTGTTATTATTAATGACGAGGTCATCACTCTCTTCTTGAGGGGAGAGTGGCGAGTAGTAATACTGTTTATAGGTATCTTCATCGAAGCTCAATGATTTCTGCAACAACACAGTTATCATGTTAATATCAATTTGTTAACACTTAATCATAAAAGTTAAAAAAGTTAAAGTTACAGCCTATTAAAGTCCACTGCTGAACATAGGCCTCCTCTCATTTCTGAGAGGGTTTTAGAGCAAGGAAATGTCCGCCGCGCTCCCTCAATGTGTGTTGGCGAACTTCACATGCCTTCGAAATTTTCTCAGACATGCAGGTTTCCTCACGACGTTTTCCTTCACCACCAAGCACGTGGTAATAAGCACTTAAAATTGCTATTAACAATTTAATTGGTGCTGGCGGGGATCGAACCCGGGTCGCGTACTGTGAAATTTACAGCTAGCGCTAACCATCTGAGTTACCACGGCTTAATCATATACATACACAATATTTAAATAAAATAATACACACACATGAAAATAACAGAAAAAAAGTAATTTAGTCAATAGAATAAACACTTACATCCATAGCCTTTGGTGTATTGAAGTAACACAAATGTACTATTGATAGATCCACTGTAGCCAAACGACCGTACACTAACTCGATGACTGCGTTTGTTGGTCTTATATACCACCAGTACGTAAAAATTCTAATCTAAAGTATTTCCGTAATGAGTTGATAATTACTTTATGCGTCAACCAGTTTATCTCACATTTCCGTTGCCTATCTCAATATTTCTTCGTATTGTGTTTTGTTTGGTGATCAATGACTCAAGTACGATTTGTATAACACAAAAATGCAATTTAATATTTAGAAACATATCAGTTTATCTCACATTTCCGTTGCCTATCTCAACATTTCTTCGTATTGTGTTTTGTTTGGTGATCAATGACTCAAGTACGATTTGTATAACACAAAAATGCAATTTAATATGTAGAAATCACTATAATTGACCATTCCTATGTTATTCATTGAGTAGCTAGGTACTGTAATAATCTACTAATAGCAGTAATATCATGGATACACTAGATGTACAACAACATCTGAAAAAGATTCACCCCAGTCTAGAAAATAATGTTTATGCAGCTAATAGACTGCCTATGTATACCCACGTACCAACGTATATAATATGTAATTTGGATACAGATGATAAACCAGGGTCACATTGGGTAGCTTTATATATCGATACGAATGACGTCGGTCAATATTTTGATTCATATGGACGATCACCTGTACGATATCATCTAGAGTTTTTAAAAAGGAATTGTAAAAGATGGAACTGGAATGTTGATAGGATTCAGAATGAGTGGACTTCAGTTTGTGGCGAATATTGCTTAATGTATTTGCTATATAAGTTTCAAGGATGTTCAATACATAGTTTTACGAGTATATTTACAAGGAACACATTGTACAACGATATTTTAGTGGATGAGATGTTTCGCTCCTATTTTATAGATAATAATTAATAAGATTTTGTATTTTATAAATAAAAATTGTAACAAAATTATGTAATGTGTTTTATTGATGATTCAGATTAGCGTTGTATAATTAGGAACAAAGAACTATAACACAATAGCACTGATATAGTCGACGCACACGCTGCAATGAAGGTGATTAATGAACAATAGAACAATAGAAATAGGAACAACAATGGGACGCTAATGACGGTGGAGGCCCTTACCGGATATCAATTAGATATTAGCTAATTGATCTACACATCTCCGGAACCGTGCATTCTACACAAAAATGGACCGCGGATTCGTGATCAGAGCATGCCAAAACCTTTTTTTTTTTTTTTTTTAGGATCGGGCTCAGGTGGTCTAGAAGTGGTACAACTACACTACTAATAACTTAGTATTCAATTTTTAAAAACCGCTTGACCGATTTCGATTAAATTTAAATGGGACCACCTGTGAAGTATTATAGCCTTTGAAACAAAATAGTATATTTCATTACGAGTGCCGAAAGCTGGTCATTGCAAAGAGTTCCGACAAATGTCTACCCGAAGGTGAGGGTTGACAATCGGAATAAGTTGCAATGACGGTTCCGCACGTGTATTGAACAACTATTTTTAATACAGTTGCGAAAAATGAAGCAATTTACAAACAACTAAACTCGCAAAGAACATTATTGGAAAATGGCGCCAACCGTAAAAGAATATAAGCAGAGATTTTTTTTTGTTTTCTTCACCCATTCTGGGTAGGCAAAGGGAACTATGCCCATACAGCCAAGTTTTCTGTAGATTTTTTTTATTGATATGAAATGAAAATAAAATTTAATGAGATGAAACGAAATGAAACCTATGACAGTTGGGAAAGAGATCGCACGAGTTCGGAAAAGGTAAAGAAAAAGCTCGAGTATGTAATAGCCCACATCCCGAACGCTATACGTCCCTGCTACTTTTCTGCCGACTTCCAAAAAGGAGACGGTACTCAATTCGACTGTATTTTTTTTTATGTGTGTTAGCTCATAACTTTTTACTGGGTGGACCGATTTCGATAATTCTTTTTTCATTTGAAAGCTGGTAGCAGGTCCCATATGAATTTGATCAAGGTCAAGCCAATAGTTTTTGAGTTATTCTTAAAAATATTTTTTTTTTTTTTTTTTTTTTTTTTTTTTTTTTTTTTTTTTTTTTTTTTTTTAGGATCGGGCGTCGACGAACGTCGTTGAACCACGTCTGACTCAGGTGGTCTAGAAGTGGTACAACTACACTACTGTTATTTTATTTATATTGAAGTCGGTTATACAAAAATTTTAATTCAACCACTTGTGAGGTATAGTAAAATATGTAATAGTCGTCCGTCTCCATCGATCACTAACGAGTTGAATGTAAATTCAAGAAAAACAACTTCCTTCTGCGTGAATCCCATATTTCTGGTGCCCTTTGACCTACAGGACCCAAATTCAAACTCGACCGAACTACTACCTCAAGGTATCCACATACCAAATTTAAAGTGAATCGGTCCAGTGGAACGGAAGTTATCGTGTCGGCATACAGACTAACAGACTGCCAGCTAAAACTATTAACTTCCTTTCAATGCTACGCAAAAGGAAGTTAATAAAAACCGTCTCCCAAACTCGGCCTAGCAAAGTTGATGCGTGAATTGAAATCTACTCGGTTGAAGCTGAACTTACCTAGGCGGTCTATGTCCTTCAATTTAAAACATTAGTGAAAAATATTTATTAGATACTATAATTAGCTTAATGTTTAATCGAGGCCATTTGAAAATTGTCTCGTCCCGAAACACTGTGAGGATTATGGGGACAGCAAGTAATGCTCCCGAGACGTGCTTCCAATAAAGCAAAGCGCGAGATCAGTTGGGTTGGGTAGTGGCCGTAGATTTTATGGCGGCTCTTCACCTTGGCCAATGTGTTGGCCAATACCAATGGCCATCATGTAGAACGGGTGTTTGTGCTTACGTTGGTATATATTGGAATGATGGCCACAAGTTCACGTAGTAGAGGTACGCTGTGAATAAATAAACCCCAGCAGCCATTAGCGCCTCAATATTCATTTTAATAAATTCGTCCGCACATTGGCCTGTACCGAAGCAAACTGAACCTTCCAACGTGTGGACGCCATCATAAACTCTTGGCTAATATCTTTGCCAACACATTCGCCACTATGTTGGCCACGTGAAGAGCCGCCATTAGTCGGTAGGATCCGGCATAACCTTTCTGTTGTATCCGCAGCAAGAAGATATCTCCACAATAAAAAAAAACTAACAAGGCAGTCAGTAAATATAATAAATGTTAAATAACTATAATAAAATGTTATTGTGAATGTAGAAGTTAAATTATTGTTATTTGTTTTAGCTGTTATTTAATTTTGATGTCTTCCTGGCGATTTTCGACCACGGCGACAATTTTTAAATAATCAGAAGCTACATTAATTGTGCAAGGATATTGTAGTGCTACAACTGTTAAGTGTAACACTTTGTGCAAACACAGAGATAGTAATTCTAATCTACCTGTGCCCATTAAATCACTCGAAAAAAAAAGCGAAAAGCTCTGGAGTAAACGTTCTTTTAATTTAACTTACATAATTGTTTTCAGGATTCGTGGGCAAACCTAGATAATTACAAGAATGAAATATTTTCCCAAAGAAAAGCAAGAAATGGGAGATAACGAAGACAAAATAAAATAATATTGTATATTAATGTGATATAGTAAAATTATCTAGAAATAAATATTGATGTTGGGAAAAAAGTCTTTTTATTCGCTTTGTTAATGGTAGCTGGTCGCGCCAGTAACGGTAAATATTCTTCGATAAAGATTTAGTGGATTGTATTGGTACATACAATAAGCAGAGTGAGAAGAGTGGATGAAAATGCACGTAACAAACTTATGAGAGCAGCCTTCCTTGCACCTTGAGTAACAGCTAGCACAGCGAGCCCGTTATGCAACGGGCTCGCTACGATTACGTAACGGGTTCGCTAAGACGTAGCCTACGTAGTTGAGCATACGCATTCTTAGATCAACTCCGAGATATCATACACTCTTCAACTCTTGAGTTGTTGTAATCTCAGTAGAGCGCAACACGATATTAATAAGACTCCAATGTTCAGTGATAATTAAAATATAAAAATGTAATGTAATCGAAGAACACAACATCCCTCGAGCGGCCGCGGTTCTTGAGCGATTTTTCAACTACTGCCGCTGCGCGGCGTTAGCTTGGTCTTCGACGGCAGTTCGTGCATATAGCAAGGATTAGGGAAAAGAGGGATTCAATATAAGTACAAAGTATTTTATTAGCTCCGACACACACACACACACACACACACACACACACACACACACACACACACACACACACACACACACACACACACACACACACACATATATATATATATATATAATATATATAATATATATATATATATATGTCGGAGGGTCTATAAAATATCACTTGGATCGTGGTGGACATGAGGGTATATCGAGAAACTCCCACTTGTTTGTGCAGTATAAAGTTCACTGTAGGAGGGGCTACTCTTGGGCTACTCCATGCGAACGACCTTGAGCATTCGGCCGGCGCGCCGACTCGCTACAATATATCGCGTAAGAAATATGCAAACGCCGCCACTACGAACGTAGTATTATTTTTTCAACATCAATAAACTATTTTAGAGAAATACACACGGCGTACAACGATAAATGTATATTAATTTTTTTATTCGGTATATTAGTATATTAGTTGCATTATATTAGAATTATGTATTCTCATATATTATCTAATTATGAAATTTTATAATTAATTATATATTAAAAATGAAGCATTGAAAATTGTGATTCTAAAAAATACCTACTCACTATAGGTAAATAGATAGATAGCTCGCCTTTTGTACAAATATTTGGTACAATAAAGAATAAATAAATAAATAGGATGTTTCGCAGATGCGTTTTTGATTATTATTAATTTTTACGTGTCACATATTGAAAAGTAACATACCTACCTACTAATTTTTGAACTGAGCACCTTGTTACTTAGCCTGCTTATTACTTATGCTGGCTGACATTATCTTCACCCCAATGATTGATGAGGATGAAAAAAAAACATGTTTGTTTTTATTTTAATTCAATTTTATTTCTACATACGTAATTATATTTATTTATACATAAGGGTAACTTTAATAAAGGTAATACAAAAATCAACAAGAAGTATAAGGGTTCAATCTTTCAATTTCAATTTAAAAAAAAACGTTACCCCCACACTAGGATTTTCTCCTGTGTCGTGGAGGCAGTTTACAAGCATAAATTGCACAAGGACAAACATCCAGACCCGGAACAATTATTTATAGGCCATACAAATACTTGTTCCGTGCGGGATTCGAACCCGCGGCCCCCAGCGCAAGAACTGATTGCTAAGCTACTGCGCCACGGAGCCGTCGCCGCGTTATAGGTTAAGTGACCATACATCCCGTTTTGAACGGGACTGTCCCTTTTCTCGGTCACCTGTCCTATTGTCCCTAAACAAAGCTCCGGGACACAAAATTGTCCCGTAACTCGTTGGATGGTTGTTGATTCAAAGCCAACAATCTTCAACATAATTTTTTTAATCGAATATATTTTATGTCTACCTGGTACAAATGCTCAAGTAGTATGAGTATTTTTCTATTTTGAATAAATTGTGGACGTCTGAAAAAAACACTTACGGTTCCAGTTCTAAAGGCGATGTTGTTAACAAATTTAATCCACTGACAAATGTAATTAATAATTTAAAAAAATATGTTGCATTTAATAATTACCGTCTATACGGAATATAATTTTATAGTGAACACTAATTGTATAAAGTTATAGTTTTTAGAGTATAAATAAACCCATGTCCTGTTTTGAGTTAAAAAATAAATGGTCAGTTTAGTTTTTTTTAGTTAAATTTAATTTTAAAAAATTTTAGTTAATAGGGGTTTTTGGGTTGTAATTAAATGATGCCCGGGTAGGTATAAGTACTTACTTAGTAAAAGTAGATAACTATTTAGATAAGTACCTTTTATCTAATCATAATACCTACATAGGTACCTATTGTGATTAGTTATACTGGGTATAATTACTATACCTATACTAAGATATTGTGGTTAAGTATTAGGATTATTTTTAACTTTATACTATACTGATAATATTGAATTAGCTTTCTATAGTGTAAATTATAATATTTGTCGAAATGTTAATTATGGATTCAAACTTTACATGCTAATGGTGCTTAATTTTTATTTTTTATATTTGCATTTACTTCAAAGAAAATACACGCAAAAAGCTTAATCGCGCAGTAAAAAACACAGAATAGAATAGGATAGAATAGAATAGAATAGAATGATTTTTATTCAATATGGATTATTACATAATACTTATTGAAAGTCATTATTTTATTTACCACTGGTTCGGAAAATACCTCTGTCCTGGGAAGAACCAGCAAGAAACCCAGCGGGACTTTTTTTTTAAACATACTTTCACTTAACAATAATTTTGTTTATACAATTTTAAAGAATATTCATAGAACCAGCATGATGGCGATCACCTTATTCCCAAGGGTTATTTTCAATCATGTATTCCTTGATATTATAATAATCCTTTTTGTACAGTTTTTCTTTAATAAATCTTATAAACTTGTTTATTGACAAACTTTGAACATGTTCTGGGATTTTGTTGTAAATGCGTATACATTGCCCCATAAATGAATTACTAATTCTGCGGAGTCTAGTAACTGGCATTACAAGCTTATGTTTGTTCCTAGTGTTTAAGGTATGAACATCCTTATTCTTATTAAAGCTATTTATGTTTTTATGTACATATATTACATTTTCATAAATATATTGCGATGCCAAAGTTAATATGTTTATTTCTTTAAATTTTTCTCTGAGGGACTCTTTACAATTTAGATTATAAATCGCCCGTACGGCTCTCTTTTGTAAAACAAATATAGCTTCAATATCAGTCGCATTACCCCATAGCAAAATTCCATAAGACATTACGCTACGAAAGTAACTAAAATACACTAACCTAGCTGTCTCAACATCTGTGAGACTTCGAATCTTTCTTACAGCATATGCTGCAGAATTAAGTCTGTGCTAATTTAGATATATTGGGGCCCCATTGAAGTTTCGCGTCAACAGTAATACCAAGAAAAACAGTGGTATCCACAAGACTCAACTCTTCCCCATTTAAGAGCACATTGGTTTTGGAATGTTTTACATTAGGTATTGTAAATTTAATACATTTTGTCTTATTGCCGTTTAAGAGCAAATTGTTGGCGTTAAACCAATGTACTAGTTTCGATAGAGCATTATTTACATCGTCATATTTAATTGACTGCTGTTTCAGTTTGAAAATTAAAGAGGTATCGTCAGCAAATAATGCTATATCGTGATTGTCCCCTACAAGATAAGGTAAGTCATTAATATAGATTAAGAACAGGAATGGGCCAAGAATCGAGCCCTGAGGAACGCCCATTGATACTACCGATCCGGAGGAACATTTACCATTGATGACGACCTTTTGAGTTCTGTTACTTAAATATGAAGTAATAAGTCTAAGCGCCAAATTTTTTACACCGTAATGTTGTAGTTTCCTGATTAATGTCTCATGATGAACACAATCGAAAGCCTTGGACAGATCACGGAAAATACCTAAGGCATCTTGTGAATTCTCCCAGGCATTAAAAATATATTTCATAAGCTCAACACCGGCGTCAGACGTCGAGCGACCCCTTGTAAAACCAAATTGATTTTTATGAAGTAATTTATTTGTATTAAAAAAAATTAACGATTGATCCAAAATTATTTTTTTTTTACTGTGAGTTGGTAGAACACAACAAATATATGTATAACTAATACGAAAAATTATACCCAAAACAAACAAATAATACTACCTATAAATAACCTAATAAGTAATAATAATTTTATCGACTGATAAGAAGACGTGAGCGTGTGTGCTGGCCGACGCTGTGACTAACGACACGGGTTTCACCTTCAAGAGCTCAGCGCTCACTGACTCCACTCCAGCAACTTTGTGGGCAGTGAATACGCCCAGTTTTTAAAATAATTTCTCAATAAAGTATTGCTTGCTTTCTAAATTATTTTCTTTCATTTTCTTTCTTTTTTAAAACGTAACCTCTTCACTAGAATTTTCTCTTGTATTGTGGGAGCAGTTTACAAACATAAATTGCACAAGGACAAACATCCAGACCCGGAACAGTTGTTTGTAGGCCATACAAATACTTTTAAAAACCGGTGTTTTTAATAAATACCATATTTATAAATAAATTTTAAAACAAAATTTGTAATCATTTGATGTAATGGAAATAATCTGAAAATCTACAACGTTTTACGTTTTAAAAACAGCGCCATCTATCATAAAATATAAAAGTACCATATTTTGCCTTTTGTTACGAGTGTTGCCAACAGTTAAACTAGCTCTCCACCAGATTTAACTTCTAAAACCACTAGAAACGCACTAAAAAAAGTGACAGTACTCTCATAATGCCTAAATTTTCCACTAAACAATTTATTTTTTATTACTGAAGAAAACAATAGGTTTAGTTTAGAAAACAATAGGGTAATTGATTAACTACCTATATTATTACATACTGTGTAACAAAATATTAGATTTGTATGTAAATAAAAGTGGTTAAA